CCCGGCCCTGGCAACCACTAATCTACTTTCCATCTCTATGGGCTTACCTCTTCTGGACATTTCATAAAACACAATCACACAATATGTGACCTTTCGTGTCTGACTGCCTTCATTTAGCATAACGTCTTCTTTCCCCCCCTGGCAGTTTTATAACTTTATTCGACCCTCAGCAGTTCATGCTCATCCACATGAACTGTTTGCAGATTTTTGAAAGTGGCGACGGGTACGTAGGTGTCTATAGAACTTGTTTGGCGACTCTTCGTCTTCATTACATTTTCTGGACGGCACCCGGACGGGGTCTGGGACAGTCCTTATTTCTCTGGCCCAGACAGGTTTGTTGAGCCCGGTGCCAATGCGCCCACGTGGAGTCCCGTCCCCTTCATGGCAAACTTCCCGATCTCTCTGGGTGCCCGAGGGGTACGCTTCTTGAAACCCACTCCCCGGGTGCGCTTGCGAATGTTGATGGTGTGTTCTCTGGTCACCACCTTGCTCATGGCTCAACGGTCCTTCTCGCCACCCTGTATATTTATTTATGCACTGTATGCATCTGGGCTTTATACATAAGAGGAGGTTTTTCTTTGTTCCCCAAGAACCATTTTTTGCCCTCTTGAGTGTGCCACGGAGAATGAACATTCCAGGGGAAGCGTGTCACTGTCATCACCTCTGTTAATCCTTACAGAGACCCTGAAGTGGGTCATATTCCCTTTTATACTTTAAACATCTTTGGCTCTGGGCGGAGGTGGGGGGTGGGGATGACCTATTGTGACCCACAGTCTCGCAGCCAGTACCAGGTGCTGCAGGGATGCCAGTTCCTGAGTAGACGTGGTCAGCAGCAGGTAATCCTGCCAGGGTTCACCTCCCATCTCTGGAAGGGGAAGCAATACCCTCCTGACCTTTGGAAGGACTGAATTTCATCTGTGATATGTATCAACGGGACAAGGAACGTTAGCAGCTAGCTGGCGATGCACCTGGTTCCTCTCTCCCTAGAGAATGTTCCCGACTTCTTTTCCAATTGGGGTTTCATCTATAGCAAGGTATTTACTCTCAATTTGTCATAACTGTGGTGCCTGGTCAGAGCAAGAGGGGCTCTCTGAGATGTAAAGTCTCCTCCCTTAATTTACAGGTCAGGAAAGCCAATGGATCAGAAGTGACTTGCTCAAGATCAAGGAACTCATGAGGCTGAGGTCTCCAGATCCCAGCCCCACCCCACCACAGAGGGTGGACGGAGTGGGCAGGGCACATGCAACTAAAGGCGGGGGCTTCGCTGGTAACTGAGGCAATAACGAGGCTGCCCACCCCTCTCATCTGCACGAATTTACTCGTCCTCCCTTCCCCTCTTCGGCTCCGGTTTTAAGGCCCGCCTCTGCCCCATATTCATTAATGGTGTGACCTTGGTGTCCTTATCTGTAAAAAGGGGAGTCAGAGGGCTATAGTGAGAACCAAATGGGAAATGTGCCAAGTTGGGAGCTAGGGTCACGGGGCAAACACATCAGCACAGTACTGTCCAGTGGGCACTAACCTGCCCAGGCTCTTATCCAGGGAGGAGGTGCTGTTTTGTTTCTTAGTGGAATGTGTAACTGGGTGAGCCAGGTCTGAGGGTGGGTGGTTTGCAGATTCTGGGGCAGCTCCCAAGGTAGAGGCAGTGGGGTGGCTTCACCAACACGTTCTTGATGTTTGTCAACAAGGCGACCCCTTTCAGAGTCAAAAGGTTGTTGCATGGACACACACTAAACTCTAGTGTGGCTACTTTGGGAGGTGAAATTGGAGGGTCGGGGGAAAATTTTCCCTCAATACTATGGATACTTAAAATCATTATGGTTTTTATTTTCTTCTCTTTCTCCCTTTCTCTTTATATTTTAAATGTTTTATTCAAGTACAACACACATCCTGAAAAACGAATGAATGCTGGATGAATTTTCCCCAATGGAACACACTACCTTAGGAGCACCCAGACCAAGAAACAGAGCGTGACCACCCTCCCTCCCAGCTTCCACTGGCCCCCTCCCACTCACTTCCCAACTCTCCAAACAGGCCATTCATTCCCCTGACTTCTAACAGCAAAGATTAATTTCTTTAGATATTTAAATTAAACTTTATTCTGATTCTAAACGAAAAGGAATTGGAATGACAAGTAATATACAAATTTTCACCACTGAATATTGTGATGTTACTGCAGCGTTCTTACATTTGAAACTCAATAAGGAAACAACTGCGTTCCAAAACAGCGAAATACGCAGGTCCAAAAAATGAAGGTATTTTTTAACTGCCACATTTCACTCCGAAGCCCATTCGTCTCCTTCAGCATCCCAAAGGTCAAGCACAGGTTCCGCTTAGCTGTGTAATAAAGTGCCAAACAGGCTGCAGCACTGACATCCCAGGACAGCTGCCTATAAAACTAGACTCCAGATGCTGGGCTCCAGCTTCCCTTTCTCATAGGTCGTCATCCTCGTCGGAAAGAGCAGTGGTCTGAGCAACCTGTGGATCGTGCTCAGACGGCGCTGCCAAAGCTGGGCCCACGTCAACCTCAGGTGGGGCAAAAGCAGGCACGGCGAGAAACTCCCCGTGGGGGTCTCCGATTCGTTTTCCAGCAAGCCAGGGGAAGGGCTTTTCAGAATTGTAGCTTCTTCTGGCAGAAATGCGGTAGCCCTGAAGATTCTTCTTTCGGCGAAAGACAATTGATTCTGCCTTAAGTTTCCTGTCCTTCACATCCACCTTGTTGCCACACAACACGATGGGGGTGTTTTCACACACCGACAAGGATCTCTCTACATCAGCATGTTCTCCTGAGTAACTCGATTTGACGTCAAGCGTTATGATGGCACACTGGGCTTGGATGCCAGGCCCTCCGGACCGCTCCTGGCCACACGCTGAACTTCATAGGCCTTCTGTTGGTGTGTAACAGGAGGGGCTGGACCTCAGCCTGCGTGGCTACGCGCTTCTCAAATTCACCGGGTGATGGGTCACCAGCGTCTTTCCCAGTCCCGCCATCACCGAGCAATACAAAAGTCTGAACTGAACTTGGGGTTCTCCTTAGGCAGCCATGGTGATGTTACCTCCAGAAGCATCTCCAGCCAGTCTGACGGAAAGATGGAAGGTTAGTTCTCACGTTATATAAATGGCACCAGCCAGCATTTTACTCTTTGGCGTCTGGCTTCTTCTTTTAAGATTATGCTTATGAGATTCATTCAAATTATTCTAATATATATATATATATACACTTAACATATCTTTATTGATTTCAGAGAGAGGAAGGGAGAGGGAGAGAGAGAAACATCAATGATGAGAGTCACTGATCGGCTGCCTCCTGCACGCCCCCTGCTGGGGACCGAGCCCCCAACCCGGGCCTGTGCCCTGACCGGGAATCGAACCCCCATCTCCTGGATCCTAAATCGATGCTCAACCGCTGAGCCACGCCCGCCCGGCTGTTCTAACATATTTTGAAGTTACCTTTCAACTTTGAAATAAAATGTTCCTAGAGCTCCACATGGTAAAAACTTGACCGCAGTACAACTAAACCTTGGACCTCAGGACCGCTTCGAGGTTCCCCGGGCCGCGCTCAGGGAACCACGCCCTCGCCGGCCTTCTCTCCGCCCCCCTCCGGGGCTGGATGTGCGGCTGCGCACCGCTCCCCCCCCCCCNCCGCGGGAGCGCGGTCACGTGACGGCGGCCAGCCGGCCAAGATGGCTGCCTCCTACGTGGCACTGCTGGCGCTGGTTGTATCACTGCCGCTGCTGCTGCTGATCGCGTGGAAGCGCTGGCGGCGAGGGCTCACGGCCCGGCACGTGGTCGTCGTGGTGCTGGGCGACGTGGGCCGCAGCCCCCGAATGCAGTACCACGCGCTGTCATTGGCCAAGTGTGGCTTTTCCGTGACCTTCCTGGGGTTCTGCAGTGAGTGCCGGGGGCCTGGGAAGGAGGCAGCGCTCTCAGCTTTGATCACCGCAGAGGGGCCGGGGCGGGGGTGCCCCTTTTCTCTCTCCTCCCTCGGGCAGCTCTCCGAGATTGCATGAGCCCACTTCTGGCCTGGACAGCTGATGTCAGGTTTCTGCCCAGGCTCTGCTGGGTGGGTCTCTAGGAGCAGCCTGATGGAGCTTTAAGCGAGCGCCTGCCATGTGCCAGGACGGCGCTGAGCTAAATGAACTCATTGCCTGGTTCTCACGTAATCCTCCTGGAAAGTGGAAAGACGGACGGGAACCCAGGGGCGCGACTCCAGGGGGGTACAGGCACCGCCTCCCCGAGGCCGCGCGGGTCAGGCCGAGTCTCCTCTGCGTTCCTCCTGGCAGAGCTCTGCAGGCAGCGGGTGTTTTTCCTTTGCGCAGCGTGTCCAGCCTTTCCCCTTCGTGTGCGGGGTCACGTCGTCTGTCCCTCCATCTCCCTCCATGGTGACATCTTTAAAGGGTAGCTCAATTCTATGCCAGGGAAAAGCAGTAATAATAGCGCTGGTTGCCTTTGGTCCCTGTTCTCCCAGGCGAGGGGGACTTCATAGGGGTCTCCCTGTGGTGGGATAATTCCACCATCCAAGGAACCGAGATAAGTTTGAGGGCCTACTATGTGCCAGGTATTGTGTTAGGTAAAGGCGGATAAGATTTGGGCCCTCCCTCTGTGGGAAGTCTAGTAGAATCTGGATAAGAATTGGCCTCCTTCTCTGTTCCGGCTACTGAGGAACAGAGAGTTATGTGGAAAAACCCTATTTTCCAAAATACTCTCCACTATTTTGCCTGAATTGGCCAATCATCTGACTTTAAATTAGATCGTCCTGTCTGGTTCATTAAAGGGGACATTCTTTTCAGACTCCAAACCCCACGATGAGTTCTTGCAGAATGACAGAATTCGGATTACGCATTTGACAGAACTTCAGAGACTTGCAGGTAGGATGCAGTCAACTCCAGATTCCTCTGAATCTCTGTGTGTGTGTGTGTATGTTTGTGGGGGGGTGTCTGTGAATTGCCAAGAACTCCTTTGGTAGTGACAGCTGTTTTCTGACTTGCAGCTGGGCCACGCATTCTTCAGTATGGAGTCAAAGTTGTATTTCAGGTGGTGCACTTGCTGTGGAAGTTGATGTGCAGCCAGCCAGCAGCCTACATCTTTCTCCAGGTATATGTCAGCCCTGCTTCTTTCTGTGAGAATCACTGTAACAGTTTTCTCTAAAAATGCACAAGTTGGTAAATAAATGGCATATATGTGTATATAAGCTTTAAAAAAAATGTCTTTATTGATTTCAGAAAGAGGAAGGGAGAGGGAGGGAGAGAGAGAGAAACATCAGTGTTGAGAGAGTCATTGATCAGCTGCCTCGTGCACACCGCCCCCTGCAGGGGATCGAGCCTGCAACCCAGGCATGTGCCCTGACCGACAATCGAACTTCGATCTCCTGGATCCTAGGTCGATACTTAACCGCTGAGCCACACCGGCCAGGCTGTGTATAAACTTTTAAGACTATGAATGGGAGTCTATGGTATGTGTCCATTTTATTTATGATACCCATCCAGTTTATTTTTCTATGCCATTTAGATAAGTCATACAATGCACCTATTACACATCTTAGTATTTTACATGTATTAACTCATTTAATCACTCACAACAATCCTAAGAAATAGGTTCTTATATTACTTACATTTTAGAGATGAAGAGACCTAGACTCAGAGAAGTTCAGTAAGTAGCCCATTGACACACAGCTAGGAAGTGCTGGAGGCAGGGTTTGAACTAGGTAGTCAGTCTGGCTCTGGAGTTATGCTCTTAACTTCTTCCCATCACTTTTTAGCATATAGAAGCACCTTCTTTTAATTGGCTGATGTACCCTAATATATTTATTTAGTCTCATCTTTATGGACAATCAGATTCTTCCTAATTTTTAAATTCTTTTACAAATAATGTGGTAAATAGCATCAGTGAATGTATGTTTTGTGCACAGATCCAGTCTCTTTCTTGGAATGAATTCTTAGGGGTGGAAGTGCTTGGTCAAAACTCATGCACTTTATTTTTATTTTTAGAATAGCGAATTGCTTTTCAGAGGGAGAGGAAGGAAGAGGGAGAGAGAGTGAGAAACATTGATGTGAGAGGGCAATATCGATCGACTGCCTCCTGCATGCCTCCCATGGGGGATCTAGCCCGTAATCCAGGTATGTGCCCTGACTGGGAACTGAACCGACAACCTCCTGGTGCATGGGACGATACCCAACCAAATGAGCCACACCAGCCAGGGCAAAACTCATGTACTTAGAAATGCTGTGGTGTGCTACTGGATAGTCCTGGAGTAAGGTTAGGCCAGTTTATCCCCCACCCAGGGGATGCCTCTTCCCCACATACTCACTACCACTGGCTGTTGTTAGGTATTTTAATTTCTACCTAACTAAATGTACCTCCTTGTTTCATTTTTTTGTCTTCTTGATTATTGATGATCTTGGACTTTTCAGATTGGTCAGTTTTGTTTCTTTTATGACTTTTTATACCTTTTTTAGTGAAGAAGAGGGTCTTCTGCTTATTGATCATTTATGTTGCACTCAGTTTATTGTCAGTGATGGTCTGGTTTCCTCTTCATTCACGTCTCTCTTTTTCCCAGAACCCCCCGGGCCTGCCTGCCATTGCCGTCTGCTGGTTTGTGGGCTGCCTCTGTGGGAGCAAGCTCGTCATCGACTGGCACAACTATGGCTACTCCATTATGGGTCTGGTGCACGGCCCCAGCCACTGCCTTGTTCTGCTGGCCAAGTGGTGAGGGTCTGGGAGGATGGTACAGACACCTTCCCTAAACTGTAGTAGGAAAAAGGGCCTGTGCGGAGACTCAGTGAAGCCAGTTCCTTGTATACTCCGTGGGGTAAGGGTTAGGCTGGGAAATTGGGCTAATGCTGGTTAAAAGTGATGGAAACACGCTTAAGCCAAGGACTGCGTCTGTTGGCTCATGAAACAGAAAAGTCCAGAGAAACGATTGACTTTGAGCTCAAAAAGAGTGTCATTAGGACCCCTCTCATCTGTCTTCCACACTCATTCTCGGAGGTGTTTCTCAGCTTCTGGGAGCTCCTCTTGCTTTCAGCCTCACCCCCTCAGGCTCAGTGGAGAGAGTGAGCCTCTGATTGGCACCTGCTCACCTGCCATCCTGTGACCTCCCCCCTCCACTGAGGCCAGGAGCTGTAGTACTCCATTGTTTCAGGCTTGGGACAAGTGCTCTACTTCAAGAGCTGGGATCTCAGATGTACCCAGACCAGGTCCCCAAGTAAAAACTGGGGCTGCTGCTGGAAGATAGGAACACAGGCCACAGTTTGCTTTAGTGGATGAGACAGGGAGAGGGAGGAAGCGCCTGTGGTAGCCAGTTTGACCTGGAGCAGGAAGAGTTGGTCTATTCTGAGCCCCAGTATATAACAACTGCCTTGGTGGGGACTTGCAGCCTCAAGCCATTGGCTGTGACCTTTCCCCTGATGGGTCATTCCTTGATGGTGGTAACAGCAATTATTGAGCACTTGCTGCGTGCCAGGCTCAGGCCAAGTCCTTTATCCTATTCAGTGTACACTACCTGCCTTTTACAAGCCTGGAAACCAAGGCTGAGAACCATTATGCAGACTCTTGCCACAGCTAATAAGTGTGAGGACCAAATTCAGGCCCAGGCCTTCCAATTCCAGAGCTTTCTCTGCATCCTGAGTTAGGAACAATCCCTGATACACCAATGATGTTAACCTGGAGTCGCTCATTCCCCTTTCTGATTCTCTTTTTAATTCTGCCCTGTCATCCGGTCGCAAGTCTCAGTTTGGAGCTGAGACTGTTGTTAATGCCTCTCTAACATTTGTCAAACTCCCTTTGTAACACATGGAGAGCATCCTCAGCCCACAGCCTTAGCAGGAATCAGCACAGTGTGGCAGAAATTTAATAAGGGGCACTTTATTGTATTTCTTCTTTTTATGGCAACAGAGACTGGCTTTTCCCTTCTGTAGTGATATATGGTTTCCTTTGAAAGTAATTGTATTTAAGCTGAAAAGCGATACAACGTAAAGAAAGGTGTGAAGGAAATAATAGCACAGGTGGAACTCAGATAGTACAAACCCTGGGAAGTTGCCTTGCCAGCCACCCGATTTGGGACACCCCAGCTTTGCAGCCTCTTCTGTATGGGAAGGTTTCGAGTCGCGTGGCGGTTATGGTCATGGGGCCTGGCCCAGGGCTCTGGGTGATCACCGCTTTATCTTTTCAGGTACGAGAAGCTTTTTGGGCGCCTCTCCCACCTGAACCTGTGTGTGACCAGTGAGATGCGGGAAGACCTGGCAGAGAACTGGGGCATCAAGTAGGGACCTGGAGGGGCAAGGGTTCCGAGCCTGGTTGGGCACAGCTGCTGTGTCATGTTGGCAAGGCATCTGGAAATATGCAGGAGCCTTGGAGATGAGCCTTGTCTTTGGGAAGCTGAGGGAGGAGGTGGAGTTTCTTTCTCAGCCAGCCAGATGGCCCAGGCAGTTCTGATGTTAGAACTTCTCTCTCTGCTTCCCCAAGTAATTCATAGCTGCTTATTATCATTGTCAGAGACTCGCATCCCCCAAGTGCCCTTCTTTTTCCAGATCCTCCTGGGTCTTCTATTCCTTAGGCCATTCTCCACTCCTCCTAGAGCCTCCCAATGATCTCATTGCAGAGCTGTGACTCTCTACGACAAGCCAGCATCTTTCTTTAAAGAGACTCCCTTGGACCTGCAACACCGGCTCTTTATGAAGCTGGGCCGCACCTACTCAGTGTTCAGGGCCAGGTAGGTCTCCCATCTTCTGTCTTCTCTTGTGTTTGCTGCTGTCCTGGCTTCTCCCTGTCTCTTTGCTGCAGACCTGAGAACCCACTAATCCACGGGTTGGCTAAGTAGGGCTGCAGGCCCCCCTGCCCTCAGATTCCTGACCCCGTGGCGCTGTCCTTGGACCTTGTGTTCTTGGAGTGTCTCCCAGGGCTCAGGAAAGGCCCTTTGAGCAGCTGCCACATACCAGTTGTTTGCCCCTTTCAGTAACCTGGGAGCCAGTTGGGAGGTCACAGCATCATCCTAAGCTGAGGGAATGATAAGAACAGGAAGCTGGGGAAGGCAGGGGCTGAGTGGTCTTGTCTGCTGTTGTGAGCTCAGCACCTAGCAACAAATAAATATTGATAAAGAAAGCAAAGCGCATGCCTGAGTCCAGGCCTAGGGAAGTAGTGTTGCCTAGGTGTCCCTGACATGGCCACATCTGACCTTCAGGAGACTCTGGGGCTCGCTCTGGTGGGAGACGGCCATCTGGGGCCTGTGGGCTGGCTCTGTGGCATCTCACAGGCTCTGTCTCTGCTCCTTCAGCTCGGAAGCCACGGAGAGGTCGGCCTTCACTGAGAAGGATGCTAAGAGTGGGATGGTGACACGCCTTCGTGGGCGGCCGGCCCTGTTGGTCAGCAGCACGAGCTGGACAGGTCTCAGAACCCCCTGGGCACTTGGGGCTTGGACGAGCCCATCTGAGCCGTGTTCTCCTCCCAGCCAGGGCTGTGCCCCACATATTTTCTGGGTGCCCTGAGGCCCTAAAGAGAAAGGGGAGGGCACTGAGCTGGGCGCGGGGCATCTAGAAACCAGCCGTGACACTTGGCTCTCTTTTCTTATAGAGGATGAAGACTTCTCCATCTTGCTGGCAGCGTTAGAAAGTAGGTGTGTGGCTTTGATCAGGAGCTGGGCTTATCAGGGGCTGCTGAGCTGCGAGGTGCTCACTGTGCCTTGCATGGTGTCTTGTGCAGTGTTCCTGCCCCCAGGGCTGCAGGGCGGGTGGTGGAGGTGGCAGCTCTGAGTCCCCATTGGGATCACTGAGTGACCAGAACCTAGATCTGAAGTGCCACCTCTGGGAGAGTGATCTTGTGTCTGGAAGCTGTCCTCCCCCACTTCTGTTCCCCACCCCTCCCTCACCTGACTAGATGATCCTGGTTACCATGTATTTATTTTCTTAAACACAGAGTTTGAACAGCTGATCCTGAATGGAGAAAGCTTGCCTTCTCTGGTCTGTGTCATAACAGGTACTGCCTGGGACCCTCCATGTTCCTGTATTTGGCTTGGGGGCAGTGGAGGGGGGAAGGCACCTGCCTTTCTGGTGTCCTTTCCGATGTCAGGAACATAATGCTCCTTGTTTCTCTAATCTTCATGGCAGCTCTCTGACATAGGGTTTTCTACACCCATTTGACAGAGAGGGAAACAGGCTGAGGGGCCTCATGGCAGGGCATGGAGTCTGGATTTGAATCTCAGCACAACTTCAGAGATGCTGAACTTTTCACTTCTGCAGTGATTTGCACACTTTTTTAAAAAAAAACAAAGAAGTCACTGTCTGACATAAAATTGCTTCCAAAGTAGCCCAGTGGGGAGAGAAGCAGAGAACTGTGGTCAAAGGAAAGGGTCCTGGGCCAGCTGTCCCGCCTTACCTGCTCCCCTCCTCTTGGCCCCTGGGCTCCCAGGGTGACAGGAGCCCACTGCACGTGCTGTGCCACCTGGGGTGTCTGGCCAGGCACAGGGCAGTCCATGTGGGAAGCTGTGTCTGGTTTGCACTCTGGTGCTGGCCAGAGTTTATTCTGGCCGTGCTCACAGCCTGTTGGGTGCAGGTTGCCGTGGCCTTAGCCATCAGGGTGCACACCCCTGGGGAGTTGTTTCTGGAAGGGGCTGGATAGAGGCTTGATTGGAGCTGTGGAGTGTGGACCTCCTGCTCACACCTTTGCAGGGGCTTCTCAGGCCTGAGGCCATGGGATAGAGTCAGAGGTGGGCCCAGTGCAGTGACTCTGATTTTCTCTGCCAGGCAAAGGGCCTCTGAAGGAGTATTACAGCCGCCTCATTGGCCAGAAGCATTTCCAGCACATCCAGGTCTGTACCCCATGGTTGGAGGCTGAGGATTACCCCCTGCTTTTAGGTAAGAATACCTGGCAGGAGGCCTGCAGGGAGAGGGCTGAGGTTTAAAAGGGAATGCTTTAGGACTGGGGGACAGACTCTTTCTGAATGTGGCCAGATTGTAAATATCTTACCTTCCTCTGTTGCATATTCTTTGTTTTTGCAGCCCTTTAAAAATTAAAAGCCATTCTCAGCTCAAGGGCCATACGCACATAGGCCTCAGGCTGGGTTGGGCCTTGCCTTGGGCCCTGCTCCAGGGGCCACCTGGGACAGAGAACCTGTTGGAGGAGATGTTGGCTGAACCCCAGGAAATGGGGCCGTTTCCTGATGTGCCAGCCCTCCCTGCAGTGTGGGCTCAGGAGCTGTTTGCCGAGGGATTCTAAGAGGGTTATGTCCTCTTAGCCTCCACACCCTCCATTCAGATTTGTCCTTCCATTCAGCCGTGAGGGCTGGGCTTGGGCTTGGCTTGGGGCCCACTGTTCCCCAGGTGTGGGAGGGCAGTGCAGAGATGACGCGATCAGCGGTGTTGACTCTCCCCTCCCCTCTTGCTGTCTTCTTTACGCTGGGGAGGGAAGAGCTGGCTGGGTCCTGATAGGTCTTAAGGCTCACCTTCCAGGAGCCGGGAAGCTGTGTGGCAGAGAGCCTTTGGTAGGCAGGCATTTCTAGCCAGCGTTTAGTGATGCGAAGTTGCTTGTTTGGCTTTATTTTCACAGTGACAGCTGGTTTTCTGTTGAGTCTGCTGTGGGCTCTTTTTCTAATTATTATGATAATATATATAACAAAGTTTGCCATTTTAAGTATTTTTCCATTTTAAGTGTACATACAACTCAAGTGGCATGAATTATATTCAGTGTTTCACAGTCATCATCACTGCCTGTTCCAAAACAGTCTCATCATCCCACGCAGAAACTCTGAACCCATTCAGCGTAATTGCTGTGGGTTCTTTTAAAATAAAATGTGGTTAAGTAGGAAAAGGGAGTCGGTTTAAATTAAAATGTTAGTGATAGGCAAGTAGTTTTCAGATAGGGCTGAGTGGCCAGGAGTGGACACTGCTGGGCCCTTACCCTGCGCCGGGCTGCTTGGCCAGCTCCAGCCAGATGTATGTGGCCTTGGGAGTGTTCCCCCTCCTGCTTCCCACCAGAGGCGTCGATCCACAGTCCTTGCAGCATGCATGGTCAAAGGGAGCATGGCCAGCGCTCTGACGACCCCCTCACCTTGCAGGGTCAGCGGACCTGGGCGTCTGCCTACACAAGTCCTCCAGTGGCCTGGACCTGCCCATGAAGGTGGTGGACATGTTTGGATGCTGCCTGCCCGTGTGTGCCATGAACTTCTGGTGGTAGGAGCAGAAACCAGACCTTCCTGGATTTAGGAACTGGGCTCTCAGATCAGTAGCTAAGGGGACCAGTGTGGTCAGAGCTACCCCCCAGAAAGGCTCCACCTCCTGACCTGTGCAGCTCAGCCAGGTGGCCCTGGGGAACAGCAGTCCTCTTGGATGGGCTGAGCCCTACTGCAGGAGGTGGCTTCCACTTAGAGCTCGTGTTGAATGAAAACTACGTTTCCTTATACTCAGCTCGTGCTCACAGGAGAAAGTGGTGACTGGAATTGCCCGCACAATTTACATGATTTCATTTCCTTCTCTCTCTGCCCCTTTTGTCTGAGCTCATTTACTCTTACTCAGATTCATCAAATGAGTGTAATTCTCTGTCTCCACTCTTCCTGGAAAAAGTGGGTGTTTGGAGAGGACGGTGTTCAGAGAGGCTGTAGAAACAGTGCCTTTCCATGGGCTCAGGAGCTAGCCTCTGACCGGGAAGTCAGGATGTTAGACCCTGGTGTGAGCTGAGCTCTGCACGCTGCGTCATCCTTAATGTGCTGAGCCTACTCCAGTGGGGTTGCCTCTTACCTTGTTTCTCTACCGTGGGATTAAGAAACAAATGCAGAACCCACTGAGTGTGTTCTCACTGAAAAGACCATAGAGCAGAAAAGGTCCAGATCCCCATTCACTGCCCCTCTGTCTCCGAATCAGTTTGGGTTTTTATGTGTATTTTCCCAGGCCTATTTTCTATTCAGACGTCAAATCTAAGAACAGATTCTTTGGAACCAGGCTGACTGTTCCTGACTGCTAGCTTAGCCTGCGGGTGGGGAGTGGTGGTGTGGGGGTCCAGGTGGGCACTATAGGGTTCTGGTGTCTTCTCCAGGCAGCTCAGGCCTCCCTCAATTTTCTTTGCAGCTTACACGAGCTTGTGAAACATGAGGAAAACGGCCTGGTCTTCGAGGACTCAGAGGAGCTGGCAGTTCAACTGCAGGTAGTGTGTCTGCCCCCTCGCCAGGGCTTGCAGGGTCTGGGTGAAAAGCAGCAGGAGGGAGCAGCGGTCCCAGAGGCTGGGCCTCAGTGGGCCCGGAGCAATTAAGGCACCTGCCGCCTGGGTTTGTGAGCTTATACCACGCAGATGATGGTGCAGAGGTCGACTGTGTGTGTCACTTTGGGAGCTGCTGGGAATCGGGGAAGAGGGAGGAGGGAAGGGAGTTTCCTAGATCAGCCTTACAAGATGGGTGGGAGTCTTCAGAGGATACTTATTTCTTATTGCAAAAAGTGATAACATCATTTTGGACAGTTGAGACCATGCGTGGCAAACTTTCTGGAAAGCCTAGCTAGAAAAATCTGTGGTGTGTCCTGGCCAGTGTGGCTCAGTGGCTAGAGCATTGGCCTGCGCACTAGAGGGTCAGAGGTTGAATTCCCAGTCAAGGGCATGTACCTGGGTTGCAAGTTCGATTCCTGTCCCCTGGTTGGGGTGTGTGGGGGAGGCAACCACTCAATGTGTCTCTCTCATGTTAATGTTTCTCACCTCCCTGTCTCTAAAAATTAGTGGAAAAAATATCCTCACTCCTTGGGTGAGCAGTAAAAAAAATCTGTGGTGTGACTGTGTTCCAATAAAACTTCACTTACAAAGATAGGTGGAAGGCCACTTTGGCTCACAGGCTCTAGTTTGTGGACCCTTAGTTTAGCAGAACTGGAAAGAACACAGACATTGTCTTATTCCCAGCCCATGAGCTGGATGGTGCCGGTCAGAGGCTGAGGGGTGGGTGCTCTTGGTGGAAGGAACAGCATGGCAGAGGCTGGGGGCTACTGAAGGCCAGTGTGTGGATGGTGAGCACTGCAGCTTGGCCGAGCTGTCAGGTAGGAGCAGAGCAGGGGATGGAGCATGGCTGGGGTGTAAGGGCTCCCGTGACGGAGGGGGTCAGAGATGTCTGAGACAAGTTCACTACACTGTGTGGAAGCTGGGCGGCTGGCATAGGGCCACTGGAGGCTCCAGGCCACTAGTGGTGGTAGTGTGGCCACAGGGGAGGGTTTCAGAGTCATTGGCCTGACAGCTGGTGTTTGGGCTGTGGCAGGGGCCCAGGCTGCTAGGGAAGGGGCAGGAAGTGGTGATGAGGGACGTTTTGGTCTTCATTTTTCTTCTAGATGCTTTTCTCAAAGTTTCCAGATCCTGCTGGCAAACTGAACCGGTTCAGGAAGAACCTTCGGGAGTCCAAGCAGCTTCGTTGGGACGAGAGCTGGAAACAGACAGTTCTCCCTTTGCTTGTGGACACATGACCCGTTGGGCCAAAGACTGAACCCCCTGAGCATGCCCTGGTGTTGGATGTCACAAAGAGGGAGACCCTGACATCCGATGCGAACCCCTCCCTGCTCTCCTATCCTTGCCACCAGAAACCTGGTCCGCTTCCCTCCTGCAGCTTCTTCCAGCTGCTGCCCAGTCCCTGGGCAAACTGTAGAGCAGCGCCTCCCAGTGGGTGGCCATTGCAAGGACAGCAACAGGTGCCGCCTGTGGAATGTTACTCCCCCCACCCCCTTCCTTTAAACTTTATTCAGGAGGCAAATTTTGGCAGTTTCATGACCTTTTTGGTCAATAAAAAAATCCCATGGTCATTTTTAAGTTGCCAGACAGCCTCAATCCAGGACAGAGAGGTGAGGGCAGCAAGAAAGGTTTCATTTAATTGGTGTTGGTATAGATGGCTTCCCACCACTGGGGACATTGTCGCACCTCTGTGACGGGGATGTGCTTTTCAGGCTGGCTGCTCTCTCAGCCTCCAGCTTGGGAGGTGCACTGCACACAGTCTGTTGGAAGTCCCATCACTTCCTGTTTTTTTGAGAATGATTTAAACACCTCCAGACAGCCAGTCTGTGGGCCACTACTCATAGTGGAGTGTTGTGTGCCTTGGGCTGTCACAGTCAACATTAATGCACATCAGAAATGGAGGCAAAATCTCAAAACAAAGGGCCACAAATGGAATTTTCAATAAGATGGAGGTTGTCTACCAAGTGAAGTACTAGTTCCCAATGCAAATTGTCAGTGGAAACCTATGGAAAACCATTTCACTGCTCTTCACACTTATCAAGGGCAAAAGGGTTTGGGTGATTGGGACAGTTAAGGGGAAAGAATCTGTGATAAAGATTTCTTTACACAGCAATGTACTAGGAGCCCTACATCTTCCTGAAGTTGGGAGAGGAGGTAGCCACCTTGCATCTCAAACTTCGGGATGGAGCTCCCACAGCGCTACATGTGATGCTGACATGACCTGTGTAGTAAGGGGATGTGGTGGCCTGGCACATCTGGACATCCAGAGACAGGCTTACCAGGCAAGCTGAGGAAGTGTCGGTGTTGGGCTTGGAATGAAGTTATTTAATGGCCAGGAATTTGTGGCCTAGGAAACTGGTTCATCCCTGAGTCGCTTCTCTCTTTTCTTCTCTTCTTTGAGTCTTTTCTTTCCTGTTTATTACTTTTCTGTTGTTTGCCTGTGGCCTATTCAATATCTCTGTCCCTGTTTTTGTCTCCTGGTGTCCGCCTCTTTCAGCATCTGCTGTGTCCCTGATATTTTGGTTCCTGCCTTGACACAGGCCCTGCAGCCCATTGCACTGTAAGCAGAGGTGTGTCACGTGCACCATGGGCTTGGCTGTATGAGGGCTGTGAGTCCAGGATGGGGGAAAACATACTTGATATATGTGTTTTTACCTGCACAAGTGGAATGCTTATCTCTGAGCCAAAATTTTCTTTCTGATTTACAGTGATTTGCTTACAAACCAGAACTGCTGACAGAAAGGGGCACCCCCATTGAACAGTTACATTTTATTAGGACATAGTTGGTGGTTTCTGATTCAGATTTTTTTTTTAAAAAAATATCTTTATTGATTTCAGAGAGAGGAAGGGAGAGGGAGAGAGATAGAAACATCAATGATGAGAGAGTTGCCATTGATTGGCTGCCTCTTGTACACCCCCTACTGGGGATTGAGCCTGTAACTTGGGCATATGCCCTGACCGGGAATAGAACTTCGATCTCCTGGATCGTAGGTCAGTGCTCAACTGCTGAGCCACGCCTGGCCGGGCCCTGATTCAGAATTTAACATTCTTCAAACATTCAAGTCCAATGAAAGTTTTATCAGCTTTCTCACATAAAAATTCTTTCCCAGGTGGTTTAATTTTCATGGTAATTTTCAGAAACGTTTGTAAACCTATAGCATTAGTTTCAAAATTGCCATCTCCGAGTGCTCTTCATAGGGAAATAACTTCTGGTTGTGACGAGGTGCGGCTTCCCATGAGATCCCAGCCTTGCCTGCAAAGAGAGTATGTGTCTCAGGATGGTGGGGTTTGAGGACAGGATACCACCCTATCAGTTTAGGGCTGTAGGACAGGCCTGGGGATGGGGTACGAACCAGATTTCAAGCCCCATCCAGACACCTGGAATCAGCCTCCAGGGCAGGACCAGGAATTGTGTATTTTATTTATTTATTTATTTATTTATTTATTTATTTATTTATTTATTTATATATTTTAAAAAATATATCTTTATTGATTTCAGAGAGAGGAAAGGAGAGGGAGAGAGAGAGATAGAAACATCAATGATGAGAGAGTCACTGATCAAGCCCGCAACCGGGCATGTACCCTGACTGGGAATCNAGGAATTTGTGGCCTAGGAAACTGGTTCATCCCTGAGTCGCTTCTCTCTTTTCTTCTCTTCTTTGAGTCTTTTCTTTCCTGTTTATTACTTTTCTGTTGTTTGCCTGTGGCCTATTCAATATCTCTGTCCCTGTTTTTGTCTCCTGGTGTCCGCCTCTTTCAGCATCTGCTGTGTCCCTGATATTTTGGTTCCTGCCTTGACACAGGCCCTGCAGCCCATTGCACTGTAAGCAGAGGTGTGTCACGTGCACCATGGGCTTGGCTGTATGAGGGCTGTGAGTCCAGGATGGGGGAAAACATACTTGATATATGTGTTTTTACCTGCACAAGTGGAATGCTTATCTCTGAGCCAAAATTTTCTTTCTGATTTACAGTGATTTGCTTACAAACCAGAACTGCTGACAGAAAGGGGCACCCCCATTGAACAGTTACATTTTATTAGGACATAGTTGGTGGTTTCTGATTCAGATTTTTTTTTTAAAAAAATATCTTTATTGATTTCAGAGAGAGGAAGGGAGAGGGAGAGAGATAGAAACATCAATGATGAGAGAGTTGCCATTGATTGGCTGCCTCTTGTACACCCCCTACTGGGGATTGAGCCTGTAACTTGGGCATATGCCCTGACCGGGAATAGAACTTCGATCTCCTGGATCGTAGGTCAGTGCTCAACTGCTGAGCCACGCCTGGCCGGGCCCTGATTCAGAATTTAACATTCTTCAAACATTCAAGTCCAATGAAAGTTTTATCAGCTTTCTCACATAAAAATTCTTTCCCAGGTGGTTTAATTTTCATGGTAATTTTCAGAAACGTTTGTAAACCTATAGCATTAGTTTCAAAATTGCCATCTCCGAGTGCTCTTCATAGGGAAATAACTTCTGGTTGTGACGAGGTGCGGCTTCCCATGAGATCCCAGCCTTGCCTGCAAAGAGAGTATGTGTCTCAGGATGGTGGGGTTTGAGGACAGGATACCACCCTATCAGTTTAGGGCTGTAGGACAGGCCTGGGGATGGGGTACGAACCAGATTTCAAGCCCCATCCAGACACCTGGAATCAGCCTCCAGGGCAGGACCAGGAATTGTGTATTTTATTTATTTATTTATTTATTTATTTATTTATTTATTTATTTATTTATATATTTTAAAAAATATATCTTTATTGATTTCAGAGAGAGGAAAGGAGAGGGAGAGAGAGAGATAGAAACATCAATGATGAGAGAGTCACTGATCAAGCCCGCAACCGGGCATGTACCCTGACTGGGAATCGAACCCCGATCACCTGGATCCTAGGTCAACGCTCAACCGCTGAGCCACACCCGGCCGGGCAGGAATTGTGTTTTTAAAAAGTTCATGACAGCCAGGTTTGCCGCCTCTGCCCATCAGGCTACTTCTATCCCTGGAAGGCCATGGCCTGTATTGGCTCCCTGTAGCTCTGCACCTGTCCTCCACCCTGTCACTGGTGCAGCCAAGATCTGAACCCACTCTGCCTGACTGTTCAGCCCAGTGCCGCCTCACAGAGGCTGGACATGAACCTGAAGGGGCTCCCATCCTCTTCATGAGCACAGATGTCTGAAGAGCCGTTGGTGAGGTTCATGTTATCATCAGTTTTTTACTGAGTGAACATATTTAAAAAGGAAATGAGAGATAAAAGTGTAGAAGCATCTATAATCCTCACGTCCAAGTATAATAACTGTTAACTAGTGTATATTCTTCCAGATTTTCCCCCATATGAGTATTAATACAAAGGTTATTTTTTTTAAAATAAAAGTTGGCTTATACTATCTATGCTGTTTGGCATTTTGCTTTCTTCACTAAAATATATTGTAGATTTTGATGCTTGCCAGATGGGAGTGTGGTTGGGGGGATGGGTGAAAAGGTGAAGGGAATGAGAAGCACAAACTGGTAGTTACAGAGTAGCCATGGGGATGTAAAGCACAGCACAGGGAACCCAGTCAATAATATTGTAATAACTGTATGGTGCCAGATGGGTACTAGATTTACCGGGGTGATCACTTTATAAGTTACATAAATGTCTAATCATGGGGTACACCTGAAACTAATATGTTGTACATCAACAACTATAAAAATAAAAAATACGCATATACAGTATTTTCCCCATAAATATGTGAAGGAGGACTTCACTCTTTTCGAGGCTCACAGTACTCTCCAATTGGACATGGGCACATGTGGGTGGGCATTCAGGTGATCTCTGTGTCAGCAGAGGCTACTGCAGATGGGGCTTTGCTGGGGGCTTGTTGGGGCACATGGAGGTCCTAGTTGGGCCTGGCATGTGGTGGGCATGGCAGGGCAGTGGTTGTGGGGTGGAGGGTTAGTGGCAGAGAGCAAGAACGAGCTGCCTGGCTCCAATCCTTGGAGCTCAGGTGGTTACTTAGCTTCCCTACACCCCAGTGTTCCCATGGGTGACATGAAGGATGACAGCACATCCCTTCCAGCTGCTAGAGGGGCTGGCACATGTCAGGTCTGAGGACAGTGCTTGGCCCACAGCAATGCCAATTCAGGGCTGTAAATGGCAGACTCCACCCCTTCTCTAAAGTCACCCCTTGTTCTTCCATTTACTGGGTGCTTAATCCAGTAACAGCAGCTGCTGTCTTCCTGGGTGCTCCCGTGAGCCAGGCCCTGTTCCACCTCTCAGGTGGATGTTTCTGCTGTACAGATGACCCGGAGGCAGTGACAGTCCAGCTCCACCAGGGCGGGTAGTGGGATCCACCTCTAGAGCTGTGCCTGACTGCCTGTGGCTAGAACCTTGTCTACCCTGACACCCACTGGCATCTGCCATCCCTTCTACTTTACAGACAATGAAACAGGCCAAAAGGCTCTTGAAACCTGTTCTAAACATGAAGTAGGGCTGCTGGTCTCAGCCCTCCAGGATCACGGTGTGACCTGCCTCCACCCCCAGAGCCCACTCTCCGGCTCTGCCTCCTCTGCTGACCTGAGGGCGGGAGTCATCGCCCCAGCCC